ATAACCTCGCAGTAGCACTTAAGTTACTCTCTTATTACTCTAAGCTTATCTATATCCAAGGGCAAGTCCTCGACCTTCAACTTCAAAGTCATACACAAGAAAATTCATAAAGGGTTCATAACATTTATATTAGCGGTTAAATGAAAAAATGCGGTATGAAATTGCCGATATGTACTTAAAAATATGAAACTCAAATTCCAAGATCTGACATACGAGTATTTAATCAAAATATTTACCCTCATTACCATACATTGCTGCCATCTAAACGGATGTTCATTTATGCCTTTATGATAGAACTCTGGGGATCTAGATTCGACAAACTGTGTGAAAGCATTTTGTACTGCCTCCTGGGAAGAATATTTTCATCACGTAGAAAATTGTCCAAATCACGAAAAAAATGGTAGTCCGATGGAGCACGGTCTGGTGAGTACGGAGGATGACGTATGGTTTCTAACTGCAGCGCCTGTAGAGTTACAACGGTTTCTCGTCAATATTTTCAAACGTTAGGCAGTTAGGTTTTCACAAGCACTCCGGGGTGATGTGGTGGTTGTATATAATTTCAATCAGTTATTAAAACTAGTGGACTTGGTTAACCACAATGTTTATAAAACTAGAAAAGGAAAGTTGCGCTACGTTCGGACCTCGAACAAATATTTGCTGAACGTGCGGATAGACTCGCGGGGAAAATATACGCTACTTTTAATGTTTTCATGTCTTTGACTTCCTACTTCTACACATATACTTGCGTATATTTGAGTATCGATGCGGATTCACTAAACACTTAAATTTAAAAAAAAACCATCTCGGTAACATTCTTAACAAACTATTTTAGAAATCCATTTAAGACCATTGGATGAATCTGAAATTTATCGGTTACATTTGACGCAAATATTACACATTACCGTTCTTCAATCGCTATGAGAATAAAAGTAAAATAGGTATCTATGGAATGTAGACAAGAGAGTGAAAGGAGTTATCAAAATAGGCTAAATGAAATGCAAAACACCTTAACATGATTCCCGTCAAGTGTGAGGCGCGTTAACGATTCGGCGCACGCGCAGCTTTCACTGTTGTCATTCATTGTATCCTGGTACCTAGGTGCTAAACATTGTCTTTAGGCAAAATCAAAGTATAATTATTTTTATTGCTTACAATTGCTTGAAATAAACCTTATAATCGATTACACATTATCAAATGTATAGAAAATAATACCGTACAAATTATACTGTATTGCAAATAGTATGGTTGCTATCTGCCAGTGTCGATCTATAGCTACCTATTATTAAATAATTTAGTCTTGTCAGAACGAGCAACACTTTGAAATGACAATATTTAGAGCAATTCAATACAGCACCGTTTCAGGGACATCACAGGTGTCACAGCCTTTCTTAATAAATAATATCCCCAAATAGCTTCCGTTCCCCTATGTTGATGATTAAAAATCTGTCATCATTATTATTTATATTTGATCAAAGCTTAGCTTGGCTATCGAAGTCATATAAAATACAACATTAAACTGTTTCGATTTCGAAACGATTTTCCCGTACTTGTAGTATAAGATGTTACTTGCCAAATTTCAAAGGTATAGGTCAATGGGAAGTACCCTACGTTAACTAAGAAGTTTGATTATTTTACAACTTCAGGATTTTGACAGACAGACGGACAACAAAGTGATCTTACAACGGTTCCGTTTGCTTTCCTTTTGAGTTACGGAACCCTAAAAATATCTCAATGCTAATTTACTTGAATAAGTATATGTATTTATCTTTTAATTATTGGAGGTTCTAATTAATGCTTATGATACTGATGCATTACCGCCCGCTTTCGCATATCCTGCACATAATACTCTGTACTGTGCTCTAATTTTAACCGACTTTAAAAATGAACTAGACACTATTTCGACAAGTAGGTCAGGACAAAACTAAACCGCTTTTGATGAAATCTTTACTGTTACTAAAAATCGTCGTCTTACGTTAAACTTTAAATTGTTGTACGTTTGTTTAGAAGCCATAGTAGATTACTATATGTGAATATTTGACAGCTCCAATCGTATTACAGGAAATAGGTAGATACGGACCAATACGGATCAGTATTATAAGCTACTGTCTACTGGAGTATGTGGTGTAGTAGTGTAAAAATTACATAATTTAAATTAGTGTTTATTTAAAAAAGTTTTTATGAAAAGGATTGTCTAAGAAACTTAAAACAGTATTCGAGGAGAAAGTGCTGACATTTCCTATGTCTTGAGAAGAAGTCCCGAATGATCCTTAGAAACCATTTCGTTTTGAGCTAACCAGTTACAATACCTAGTAGACTAGATAGGTATGTCGGTAATCATGTAACGCAACTTTAATTAATCAGATACTTGTGTGTGCTAATGAAAATAGGCGGTATACTTTCTCCTTTACTGTTCTCTGTGCTTATTAATCGCCTATCTCTTGAACTTCCTAATGCGTATCATCTGTAAGCTGACGACCTGCAACTGTATGCACACACACAGCTATCGACAAGATCAACATAGATCTTAAAACTATCAAATACTGGTCTGAAAGGTTTGGGTTATCGGTCAACCCCAAAAAGTGTCAGGCCATAATAATCAGCAGTCAGCGTTCGATGAACAGAGTCAGTTTTGAGACGCTCCCCAAAATAATTTTCATAAGGTACCACTATACCTGTTTGTCGAACGGTGAAAGACCTAGGCTTACAGCTCGACTGTACTCTGAACTGGCGCGACCAAGTCACATACGTATGCCAGAGGGTTACCTAGGTTCTCATAACATTGTATCGCCTGAAAAATTTTTTTTCTATGAAAACTAAGGCAGCGCTTGTGCAATCTCTTATCTTCCTTTTAATCGACAACGGCACGGTACTATTTTAATACAGTACTCCAACTTCATACAAACGGACGAAACGCGAGCTATACCTACGCGCCTCGATCTCGGGGTGCGCTCGGGGCGCAGACAGTCACGGCTGTACCGCAGTGTCGAACGGACTGTATGTTGTTTTTTTAACAATAACCGCGCGATTTTTTCTCTAAAAATCAGTTAATATGACGAGTAGGAAATATTGTGCTGTTTTTGGTTGTATGAATTCGTCAATAACGCATCCAGACATAAGTTTTTTTAAATTACCTGAAAACTCTGAAAGGTAAGACTATAAAATAATTTTACTTACTAGTAGGTAGGTACATAATGTGTGTCTTTTTAATGGATAAGTATTTCCTTTTATCTAACGAAAAAAAAGGTGTTTGGATTAATAAATAAAGAAATAACGAGAGTAACGGAAAGTTATTGAGACGACTGAAATAGGTAGTGTATCAAAATTTATAGGGAGTGAATCAAAAAACAACACGCATTTTTATTGAACACTTCCTATTCAATATACAAAGTATTTCATTTATTTATATAAAAAGGATATTTACAATCACAAATCTAAATAGAAACAGAAAGTAGGCAAATGAGACGGGCAGCCCCAACGCATGTTTACGTACCGCGCGGCTGTAGGCATTTATTTCTATCATGCGGCCGAGTTACACTACTGTATTATAATTGTACCGTGACAACGGTGACGTATGCTATTATGACCTGAATGCAGATCTTCTCAACAAGCTAGATCGTCTTATCAATAACTGCATTCTATTTATCTTTAATCTACTCTGTCATTCTTACACCACTGGGTTTGCGGCTCTTCGTTCTTCGTCCAGGCTGTCCTCTTGTGAAATGCGCTTCCTCTCGATGGCCACAAATTGGTACTCTTTCAAGAAGAAAGTGAAAGAGCTTTTGCTGAGTGAAATAACAGAATCAACGAGCTCCTGGTTCATCGCCTTAAATTATTATATTTTTTTAAATATATATGTATATGTGAATATATATGTGTATGTATGTGTATGTACGTATATATATGTATGTAAGTATGTCTATGTGTGTGGTATTCAGATGTATACACCAAATCCTAAGATAGTTGCTATTTAACAAAATCTCTATAATTTATTACCCTCCCATAAATGCACCTACCTCATTCTTTCTCAGCATCGCCCAATCGGTCGACTGGCAGAGAATGCCTTAGGCATTAAGTCCGTCGATACATGTACATGTGCGAAAAGTTATAATATAATAAAAGAAATACTCAAAATACTTACTTTGTTCAAAACCCAACTGACAGACACCTATCTATTACTTAGAACTAATAAAAAAGTATTCTTATTAAATTCACTGATCAATATAGATGTTAAGCCTTCCGTGTACTGATTATCTTTGTCGTAAAGGTTAGTAATAAAAAGTTTACATGCTCAACTGGTTCACGACCAAGCTTTTTGTTCGGTACCGGTATTTAATCAAAAGAGAAGCTTTCTCTTATCCTTTGATTAAATTAAAGAAAAGAGATTATCTCCAATTACCTTAAGAAATTAAAATATTTAAAAATAAATTTAAACGAATCGTTACGCGAATTTAAGCAAACGTAACCTAAGTCTCACCTAAGTAACTTGTTTCAGTGAGCGGCTACGGGCGCTACTGTCTACGTTCTAGTCTCAAGTCTAGACGAGATCTATGAATCCTAAATAATCGCATAAAATCAGAAGTGTAAGAACTCTCCTCACCAGGGCATTCATTATGAATATTATATCTTATAAATAAGCAAATATTATATCTTGCTTGAAAGGAGCATTACGTCAAAATCAAGGATACTGACATTATCGGTAGCTAATAAACTCAAGAGTTCAAGTTATAGACGTATTTAACTTTAACGATGTTTTTAGTTTGACCCATGATTTAATTCAGTAAGCGAATTCGGAACACTACATATGAATAAGGACTTCACGCCACCCAGTTCTTTTTCCAAAAAAAAGTCATTGAGGTCAAGTATTTCGTATACAAAAATAAAGGATGTTTAAAATATTAAATTAGCTCGTCTTTCTTTCCACCGAAGTAGTCGGCATTTTAACGAGGTACTGTCGCGTCCAAAATGACAAAAAACAATACCGCTCTAATTGGATGAAAATCATGTTTTTAATAGTCTGTTCTTATGAGGAGATGCAGCAAAAATCTGATGTAAGTATTGTGAGTATAAGACTAAGTGCAACCATTAATGACGTGTTCATTGAATGATTCAATAGTCATTCTAATGATTGTGCAGTGAATCTGAAGTGAGTTTAGAAGTGAATCTTATTCTAAACAGAAAATTATAAGGATTATTATCTTTCACATTACAATAATGATCATTCTATATTATTAATATTTTATTAAATAGATATACCGAAGTGGTACATATACTACATGTTATTATGGTTCACTAATTCAATATGTGAATAATTATGATATTTGTATGTTATTGGCGGTGACTTCCACATCCAATGAAAACACAAAATCATGCTTTAGCAGCACCTAACGAAGAAACACTAAACTACGGAGAAACTAATAATCGCGCCGATTAGTATTATACCGCCATACCAGGGCCTCAATTCTGCTATTTTATGTTCACGCCAAGCCAGTGTCATACCACTGACACGCTATTGAGATGCCATCGAGTGGCATATTTATATTTATTATAATAAAATTATTAAAAGAAATAAATAAATAAAAAAAAATTATTAAAAAAAAAAGAAAAAAATAAATTATAAAAATAAAAATAAAAAGAATATTAAATAAATAAATAAAAATAAAATATTAAAAAAATAAAATATAAAAATTATAAAAAAAAGAAATAAATAAATTATAAAAATAAAAAATAAAAAGAATATGAAATAAATGAATAATTTCCTTATAATTTGAAAATATATAAGGTTTTTTGAGGAAATGATTTATTTATTTAATTAAATAAATTATTAAAAGAAATAAATAAATGAAAATAAATTATTAAAAAAATAAAATTATTAAAAAACGAAATAAATAAATTATTAAAATAAAAACAAAAAAAATCATTTCCTCAAAAAACGTCAAATTATAAGGGAATTATGTAATTATTTTAATTATTTATTTAATTTTAATTTTTAGTAATTTATTTTAATTTATTTATTACTTTTAATAAGTTATTATAATAAATATAAATAAATCATTTCCTCAAAAAACCAAATATAAATTCAACTACCGATATTTATACCGATGCCAATGGCCACTCGATGGCATCTCAATAGCGTGTCAGTGGTATGACAGTGGCGTGGCGTAAACATAAAATAGCAGAATTGAGGGCCTGGTCGCAGGATCCTTTCTATGTATTGGAGGGACATGACATGTGTTCCTCCACAGTAGAAATATGTTTAGGATAGTGTGAAGATTCTATTAATAAATATTGTCTTTTTACTTTATATTTTTTATGTAAAATATGTATGGTGTCAAGCGGTCATAACCTTTAAATGAATACTTTTTAATTATCCTTTTTCACAAAAACCTAAATTAGAAGATTTATGTACTTAATACTAATAATAGACATTTGATTTGCTTATGCAGTGAAATTTTCTTTTTTATCAATTAATGTTTAATTACTACCTACTACACAACCTTTAAAAATAATAATAATAAAATATAAAATATCCGAAACTAATAATGGACGTTTGATTTGCTTATGCAGTGAAAATTTTCTTTTTATCTATTAATGTTTTATTTTAACACAACCTTTTATAAATAATAAAATATTAAATATCCAAAACTGTGCTACGTTGTACCTTTTAAAAAGAAGGATACAAGATGAAACGACGCTCATCAGTCAGATCGATGATAGTATTTAACCTATCAGACCAGTGATCCCTTGATGACCGGTATCACACCGGCGCTGCGCTAAGTTAGTTAAGTGAGGTAACAGGCATTCAGTCCACAATATGGATATAGTTTTGGCACAGAATAATTAAAATACTAGCACAGAAGGACCTCTGATAACTGAAATAAATTAAACAGCATCTTTCTATAATTCGCCTAAAATGTTGTCTTTCGTTTTGTCGTTTCGCTACCGTTAGGATTGTCATTTGTATGGACAATAATTACATTTTATTAAAAACAATGTTAGGCACCTACTTAGAAGCGTTAGTATGAAATTAACTGAAATTAACAGGTTCACCTGGCTGGCGCGTGACAGTTCTCCTATTATTCAATATATCTACTCTGTGGTGACTTGGTGACAGCCAACGGAACAATTGTCCCGTCGAGACGAAGCATGTACTTGTAAGTTCTTGCCTAAAGTGCGAACTGGACCATGCCTGGTTTCGGTAAAATTAACTGAGTATATAATATTAGAGAAAGTTAGAACAATTTTATGTTTATGTCGCAACCATTGGTCGCAACATCATTTTTTTATCATACTACGTAAAGTTAAAGTTAGTAAAAGTCGTATTAGTAGTATTAGTTTAGTTACGTAAACAATGAGTTTCAAAGAATAATTCGGGAAGAGCTATAAAGAGAGAGAGAGTTAAAAAGAAACCGTACAGAAAAACTTCACTGAATTATCTGTCTTCGTTTATCTCATTAGTCTTTACTGAATATGCCTAATGTAAAATTTATAAAACAAAGAAATATATATTGACGGTCTATTGTCTTCACTAAACTGTAAGGAAGTATTACATTCACGTAGGTTAATATATATAGGTACTTAATGTTCGATACGCATACAATTTATGCCGCAAATATATAAGTAAGTTTTAGAACGGCGAGGCGCTTACGTAATGCAGAACAGAAAAGAAAAAATTTAGATTATTCAATTTAATTCTTACATTTTTGTAATGAAATTTAGTAAGAATTGGCACTTGTCTTGTAAAAAAAGTGATTCAAGTTGACCCAGGGTTATATAGACTATTGGTACGGCCGAAAGACAGTACGGAAATGACTAAAATAATACGGTGTTTATCTGCCCAAAAACAGTAGATATGACACAGTACAAAGAAGATCATTGCATCCCCACGTTATCCATTGATTGTAGGCAGCTTTAGGGAATAGCTCTATTGTGTGTATTTGGGGTTCCCGCAAAGTAAAAATATTTAGGTACCTACACATAAGTTTATGATTATTATGTTATATTCTTTTATAACATTTTTTTTAAACTGATATGCCTACACGAATACATCTCACCGTACGTTAATAGTAAGCACTAGCGCTGCCGTGCCAACCCAGAAGACTGTAACTCGATTTATAGTGTTTTGCATTAACAACGCTTAATCACACTTGTTATTCTCAAGTATATTTCAGAAGAAACAATAATCTAAAAAAATACTGTATTAGATTGAAATTAGGGTTTTAACATGTTAAAAAACTGTGACAAGGTTTACAGTATTTTGCCTAAACAAGCACCGCGAGTTGCTTAGGTACGTAAAAATACAGTGTTTTGGACTGATCCGTGCACTCGCACAATGATGCCGTTCAACCAGCAAACTTGACTGGACGAAACGATAATAATGCCTTAATCTTAGAGAACAAGGGGATTATAACTGGCCTATAGTTTTACGGATCAACTTTTTTAGGGATTGGGTGCACAAACGCTACCTTCCAAGTGTTTAGAACGACGCTTAGGGAATAAGAGTAAAAAAAGCGCGTTAAAACTGGTGTCAACTCTGGAGCACACGTCTTAAACACGATAGGTGAAATTTCATTGGGGCCCACTAGACTTATGAATATCAAAGGAAAAGATTTCTTTACGCACTGATTTCTGGGTGAACCGATTTGGATGCAAAAAGTTCGCCTAGGAGATCGGTTTTCTCCTTGGCATCATAGGCCAATAAATTATCGCAAATCTACAAGGGTGGAAGGAATCGGCTACAGAAATTGCAATGGACAGCCTTCGCAAAAGACTATAATGCAAGAGTTCCAGAAGGAAGTCTCACCAGTCTCTCACCAATCAGGCTGATTTGCTTTTATAAGAGACCAGGAGGCAAAGTTGTTTTTGCTTTTTCAGCGTGCTGATATTTACATCACCTACTGTCGCTGCATTATGTCATGCTTGGTAACACTCTTGTTTTCGGCGGGACGCCGTTTTGCAAGATCTGTCAAACCAATGCTTGGAACTGCCATAGATGAGAATTACGGTTGATGGAACTAATAGTTCCATGCCCTGAAGCACTACGTTAGTGACAGAATCGACGTTGGGATCATCCGGCAAGAAACAAACCCGCCTCCATGCGTAGGATGCACAGGGCGCATCCCATCCTAGTCGGTTGACCTATAGTTATTATTAATATAGTAAGATACGCGGCCTGCAACTCGCAACCGCAGTGAGCACATGAGTGGCACGGCACTCCCGATTATGCAATGATAAGAGGACCCAGTAGGCCCCAACGGTGACTTTATAACCGTCAGGATCACGGGTCCAACAGTGAAGGCTCATGATTTTCCACATCTGGGACTCAGGTAAGCGTTGATACCAGTTGTTAGATCGTGAACAGATCTTCCCGCCTGATCGGTTTTGGGTGAACCAAGGCATGCGACGTTGTGAGCGTTAAAGTCGCCAAGTATCATGATCTCTACGAATGGGATCTGCTGCAACACAGGATCTGCAGCCATTTGGCCGTGCTCCATTAGTCGGTCAGTTTCGATATCACCGCTATGGGACCTGTAGATGCATATATAGACGCGGGGATGGTGCTCGCTGTCCAAACAGAGCCACAAAATGGAGAGACTGATATCATCTCTAACGGCGGAAACTGATATCATCTCTAACGTATACGCACACTCCAGCCTAGCCTAACAAAGGAGTGTCTGTGTCAAGCGTGGTGAGAGGTGACCCGATATGCCTGCTCTTGGTGCGGGCAGATATTTGGTCAATCGCAGTTGTGACCCGCCCCCCCCTCCGCTATGCAGTATACGCGGCGTAGCCTAGATATCCACCCACAGATGCATGGTGTTCTGAGCTTGGATGTCCAGAGAGGGATGCATTAGATACAGTGTATCATTAGATGCAGTGTTTTGGCAAAATTAATTATGTACGTTTTTACAAGGCAAAACACTGTAATTGGTTTTACAGTGTTTTGCCTTGTTCTTGTATCACTATGACTTGGCAAAATCTATCGTATCAATACAAGTCAGTGGCGATATCTTTTTTTTTCTTAGTGAATTAATAAAAAAAAGTACTCGGTTATGTAGTAGATATACTCGTATACCACTAACTAATACATATGTAAAATTATACAGAAATGAATAGTAATGAAATAAAAAAGCAATTGCTTATCAAAAACGTTAATTGTCACATATCTCAAAGGTCGTTTTCAAAACTTACAGTGTATTAGATTGGCACGACAGCGCAGCGGTGCTTCTAACATCTCAGCTGCGTCACTTATTTGTCGACAGCTCTATCCTATCCGCCTTCCGTTTGTTCGGATACCGACGTCACTATAGGTTTCCTATACACGAACTTAACTACGCGTGTATGTTTGGTGCATTACACTTTACTTACCAAAACTAAGAACAACTAGTTTAAGCCGGCACTTAAAGCATTTGGTGGCTTAGATTGTAGTTGCTAACCGATACAACAGTGGACATAATGTGTGTGTAGTTAAGCCAAAACTGTCAAGTCAATTAGTATTGTCGATTTGTTAATTAGATACCTTTTATTTCAGGTACAGCTTAGCACGTTACCATTTATGTTGCTGGTAGGAGCTGCAATAGCCCGTTTCATCTCGTCAGATCTTCTCGTGGTGAATGATGGGCCGGTTAATCAAATCGCCAATATAACTTGTGAGTATTGACTATTCCTAAAAAAATCAGGAACAAACCAATCGTAAGAAGAATTACAAATACCTATATTTCATTTGCATTTTTCTTTGTGATATTTTCTGGCCTTCCCCTCGAGAGCGCTTCTTATCTTCTTCGATAATCTATACTAATTTTATGAAGCTGAAAATTAAAAAGGAAACGTTTTTGCAACATTTTACATTGGTTCTCGGCTCCTATTTGTTGTGGCTGATGTTATATAGCCATAGCCTTCCTCGATAAATGGGCTATCCAACACTAAAAGATTTTATCAATTTGATTTAGATAGTTCGTGATACTAGCAACCAAACATTCAACCAAACAAATAGACAAACTCTTCAGTTTCATAATATTAGTTAGACTTTTTGTCTCGTCTACTCCACACACTTATGTCGACTATCGTTTCTGAACTTGCTATTTGGAGAGGTATTTAACATAATTTTATAAAAATGTGGCATTAGTTGAGTATTTTTCTATTACAGATGGAGTAGAAAACATAAATCAAGGCAGCTTGACGTCCATTTTTTCTCCGCGTATGGATTTTGATCAATGGAAACCGCTTACTGGTCGAGGGGACCCTCTCCGTAACGATCCAACATATGACTACGAGCCCCCAGTCCTCGATAGAGTTCATTACTGGGCTGATGAAACTAGACTTGAAAGAGAGCATTATCCAGAAAGAAAATCAGAAGTACTAATGCTTGGTGTTTCTTCCCGAAAACCTAGCGTTACATCTCGTCAGCCACCATTGCCATCTTTACCCCCCAGACGACATATGCATCGACCACTGCTGAATAAGTACGAAGATTTTACTTATAAACTTAGTGATCATTATCCTATGACAATACTAGTTCCTCCGCCACCTCCACCTCCTGGACATCAACCACCATTGTTCGTGCTCCCTGAAGATAAACTTACGAATGCCAACAAACCACAATCACAATTGGTAGCCTCGCCCAGTGATCCCCCTCAAGAGATAATCACTGACCCAACTACCGCTCCAGAATATTTATCATCGTTCTATGCCTTACAAGAATCTAACCTAATTTATCAATCTTCTACTACTCAAAACTGGATCACAAATGATACAAAATCTATAGCTAATCAAGCTGTAAGTAGTGATTATGCTGGTTGGGGTCCAACGACACCAGTTCAGGATAACGATGCAAATAATGAAACTTTTAATTTTATATCTAAGGACCACGTAGAATTGTCAAATCATCCATACTCATTCTACAAGCCAATGTCATCTGAACCACTGCCAAAGAAAACATCTAGCCCTTTAATTCTTTCTACTTTCTTGCCAACTGTTTTGCCACCTACAACAGTCTTAGAAACAACTACAACTTTTAGTCAAGCGACTTGGCCTACAGAACGAACCACTGATGCATTAGATCTTCCTACAGAGGCACCTCAAGAGGATACTACTGAAAGCGATAACTCAGTTTTGTTACAACAAACTCCAATTCCTACTTCTGGTACTAACTCACAAACAAGTATGTTAGATATGCTTAGACCAATGATGACTATGCCAATGGTTAATGGTCCAGAAAGACCTGAAGATAACCTTTACGCACATGCGTCAGAAAACATTCAAGTATTCAACGTCAACGAACACAATCTTAAAGATATCCAGATTGAAACAATGCAAACTATGCAACCCCCACCACCTATTAAACCTTCTGAAAGTTCAACTATGACACACATTCAACAATTTCACGTAAATTCGCAACTCTCTAATAAAAATCCAACATTTTATACGCACGGACCTTATTTGCACGCCCGTTTTACAACACCAATAGCTACAACTATAGATGACTATTCAGAAAATATTAAACAGACCACAGAATTGCCTACTGCATCAATGTACTTAATAATACAAGGGCACTCAAAAGTCAAAACATATGGATCGAAGCCGAAAGAATCAGAAAGTAAAGTTGTCATCGGGAATGAAATTCCTAAGCTTAATAAAACAAATGAGGTCAAACATCTCCATCCAATTACAAAAAAAACCGCTAAGAAACTTGATATAACTGACATAAACCGAAAAAGTAAATCTAATAATCTTAAAACACTCATTGACAAAGGTTTCGGATCAATTGAAATACAGGAGACTGATCTTGGAATTAAATATGACGTCAGTGATGGTAGTAATGTTCCAATAGAAGTATACAGAAAAGGAATAGTAGACAATGACCAGAACGATTATTCATCTGGCAAAATAAAAAGTGTGGCAACACGAATAAAGCGTCAGATTGATCTAGAGGATTTAATGCCTTTCGACGAAGATGATATAGAAGAGTATGTATTTAAATCTTTAGAAGGAAAAAAAAATGAAACTAGTATTACTGGATTAATCGCACAAGCAGTAACTAGCGACGCAGCCTCAGCTGTGGATGAATTAGATAATGAAGACGATATATTAGAAGAAGAAAGATGAATTAATAAAAATTGCATTTGAAAGACCCAATAGGATAAATTTACATAGCACAATACCAAAAAATAAAAAGATCTTGGAAAAAACTTTAGCGGAATATGAAAAACTATAACTAAAAACTAAACTAAACTAATTAACTAAAAAGATCCCACCGAGATGGATCATCTTTTATATTTATTTCGAATTTCATGATTAAGCACAATAAAAATATAAACATAAAGTTAAATGGAATAAAAAGTTTTGTGGCATTCATGTAGTTCATTGGTATGTATCAATAAGAAAAATTAATAATGTTTTTCTTTAAAGTATGTACAGAAGAATAATAACAGGTTTTGTTCTTACGTTACAGCTGAACATAGTAATTTCTCTTGTTTAAATAAATCTTTTTTTTTATTTTAATTTAAATGTAATTACTCTTTAAATGTTCTTTAGAGTTGCAATTTAAACTGATAATAGGAAACAAATTATTTGGTTTGTTAGAAACCAGTTAGATCATATCAAAACCTTGTAGATGTTGTAGTAAAAATCGTAAAGCTCTACAATAGTTCCCTGAACAAATAACAGACGACTGATTTATAGATTATACCTCTATCGTGAAGTCGTGAGTATGTACTTCACTTACTAAACAGATTACATTCAAACTTCACAAATATGTTTGTAATGTATTTTACTATGTTACCTACTATGTGTTCATAGTATGGGAGTAAATGTTCAGTATTTAATGAGACTATTTCGTACCTATTTAGTGAACATATTTATTTTAGTTTTAAGAATGATTTAATACGGAACTATTAAATTTTTTATGCGAAAATTTTGTTTTCTTACATTTACCATGTGGGTTACAAACATAACTTCAATAAAATTAATTATGTGCATGGTCCTGAAAGATGATTTAGCAAGTATGCTAAATTAGTATCACTACTTTTAAGTGGACAAGACGTCAAAATCTCCTACAATATAAATTACTCCTACATGTCTGATCATCATCACATAACATCACCAGCCTTTAATAGTTCACTGCTAGACATAGGCCTCTTCTTAGAAAGGAGGTTTTAGCCTACTATACCACGCTGGCCAGAAGGGTCGGTATAGGGTTTGTGTCAAGTTTTCCTTGCAGTGCTGGTGTCCTGCGTGGTTTTGCGCCCTTAGTCGGCTCTTAAGACGGGTGTCTTGGGATAGTGGCATTCCGTATTATTCTTAATCGGTCACTCCACGGACATGTCTAATATTCACTAATAACACAGAAGAAAATTTATTTAGCTTCAATTATCTTTATCATCATCAATAGCCTTTAATAGTCCACTGCTGCTACCATTATTATTTAATTTAATTTCAGGTAACATAAGCAGTTTTATAAAATTTTCCACTAAAAGTTTTTCGAATTAACAAAATATCACGCAATTATTTGTGGTTTATCCTAAGAGGTTTATCCAAGATGAAATTAATCTTCTTACTTAATCACGCTTTTTGAATTTCACCTTGGACAATATTTCATTTTTCTAATGAAATGGGTTTAGTTGCATTCTACAAAAAAAAACTACGTGTGTGCAGCGGACGCGGCCCACTAACACAGACATTTCTTACCATCCTTTTCGCAGAAATAGACAGACCTTAGATAAAGTGAAAGCTGCTTTATAGGTAATAAACCCATAAAGTCACTTTTGTTGCGATCCAATGGAGCCTATAAGGAATCTTCTATGATGGAGGGTCAATGTTAGTTAGAGGAAAGAAAGGTAAATGGGCACCGGAAGGTAAAATGGAACAAGTAACAGAAATCCCAAGGTAAACAGCCGGGTCAAATGGTACACTGATTCGTTTTGCTTTCATATGTTTTGTTTCTTAAATTGTATTAAGTATTTCCTAAAAATGCCATAATCTATTCTCTGTTTTGTACTTTTATGTCAAGAATTGGTGAACAAATACAAAGCTGCCGAAATTTACTTTACTAAAGACTTTTTGCAAAAGTCAGCCTGCATGAAGCCAACAAAATTAATAATTGAAAAATATGTGACTAAGATATTTAAGCACGAATAGGAAGGAAAGGGTAACTAATCGTTTGGCGCTTTTTGGCTTATTCTCAAAAGATCATCATCATCATCAACAGCCTTTAATAGTCCACAGCTGGACTTAGGTCTCTCCTTAGAAATAAGGTTTTGGCCTACTATACAACGCTGGCTCTTATCATTACTGTGATTTAATCATAGTCTGATTAATACATTTTTTAGAATAATTAACATATTTTCATTTCTTAAGAAATTTCGTGACACTGATTCGTTTTAAAAAAAACAGTGTGTTGTTTTGTCTCTCTTCCCCCTTTATAAGGAAAGACAAGAATCTACAAACAAACTGGAACGTTATATGCTTTACTATTAAACATTGCACGCGTAAAATTATATTAGTTTAAAGGTTAAAGCAATAAATTTCTCAATAATGTATCTCGGTATCTTTGTAAGGTATTGAATTATAGTTGGGACCACAGTTGACGCAGAATTGCACCAGTCTGCTTGACAAAGGCATACTTTGTAATCAGCTTCGGGATATCTGAAACAAATAGTGCTATTTGAAACATCTTTTTGGAACGAAGTTCCTTATCGCGCGTTACACGCTCTGAGCTGATGTGAGCGAGACCGAAATGTAACAAGACTTTTTTCACTTCTTGCGGAACTTCGTTCTGACCACAGACCCCTCTCGCCGGTTTTGGATCTATTACCTATATTTTCGTAATAAGAAATAGTTACAGAAAAAGCGAAAAAAGAACATAAATGTCACTTTTTTTTAATTTAAAATGTAAAGAAAATTCTTAGCAGCTCTTTTTAAACAAATATGAAGCCCGAAAGCATTTCTTAAGCAAAAGCTTTTAAACAATATGTGCCTTATAGTTAAAAATTATGTGAAAACTTGTACATAAAACTATAAGTTTAGTATAAATATATTTAAATCTGTCATGGTACAAAAGTGTCTGCAATGGACATTCGAGTTATACTCGTATTGGTCAACGAAATAAAAACCAGGACCTTGCACCAAGCGATGTCTGGTATGCCACACGTATAAAAAATGCGATATCTAGTACTCGTATATTGAAATCATTAGGGTTCGAGTTGGCTGTGTTGGTAATACGAGTATATGAGATACATTAAAAACAGTGTTTTAAAGATTGGCTTAGACGCATGCCTACAGAACCGTGGCCTCAGAGAAATCCCGCTAACGATAGCGTCGTTAATAATATTTTTCCCACAGGCACCTGAGCCTCAACGTCTATGGCCGGTAAAAAGCAAGGGTAGGCACCTCAGGGTACCCCTCGTCACCCCTGCCATTTACATCACAGGGTTACACTCCAACCTCAATTTTGTCCACCACCAACTTAAGACAATGAAGCCAGCTTATTTTTTTTTTAATGACATGAGACAGATATCTTCAGATAGATACAGGTAGATATCTCGTGGCTGTAGACAGCGACGACCATTTTCACGTAGAGGCATGCCTCTACCGGTCTCAAAGCGGTGATGACCATGTGTGTGTGTGTGTTACCCAGAATTACTGTACCCTGTTTTACCGAATAGTGTTATAGACCTATACTTTACGAGTAATAAACCAATTATTTCTCTTAGAGCATCTGCACTACTACGTGATACGCAAAACCTTGCTTGCTTCAAGAGGTATTATTGTATAGGTATAGTTAGTTTTAGACGTGTCTGTTAAACGCTACTGTAGGTACCTGTCCAGTTTACAAGACATAGCTCTTGTGGGCGTATTCATCAATCGAGGAAGATTGTCGTCTGCAGTGGCCTGATAACATCCTCTCTGAACGATCCATGAATGACGGGAACGCGCTGTCCAAGACCTCACAAAGCACATTGCATTTTCTATAATATTATAAGCAAAGTTATTCAATTACTAACTACTACTGCTTTAAAAACTAAAACTTAAAATAAGAATATAGACACCTCCGGTACAGTTAATGAGATTATTTCGCGTGATATTAAGAGGGAATGTAGAGGGTACAAAATCTCCTCCGCATTGATTCCAATCTCGATGAGTTGATGAGCAGTTGTAACATAGGATTACCGCATGTGTTTCAATAAAAAATAACATAAGCCAGCACTGGTTCCACAACATGTGTATTGTGCATATTACAAATTTTGATTTCCCCAAGAATTTTTTAACGGTATCTATTTAAACACGCTGTTAATAATAGACCACAACTTATAGATTCGACTTGCTTGAAAAGTAAAAGAACGAAATTTAATATTTTATTTATATAGTATCAGTTTATCATGATGACAATGAGTTAAATTACAGATTGACTGACTCTTGTCTATTAAATAGGTTCTAATATAATAACAAAATGAGATCTTATATCAATAACAAATCAGAGTTTGGTAATAGTTTTAGCGTAGGTTGAGTTTCAACAACAGCCTTCAGTACTCCACTACTGGATTATTAGTATTGATATTGGTTGTGGGCTCCGGTTTCCGCATTTAAAATCCACAACTGGACATAGGCTCTCCTTAGAATGAGGTTTTGACCTACTACAGGTACCACGCTGCCTAGACGGGTTGGTAGGTATAGGGTTTGTTTCAATTTTTCCTTCTCCTTGCAGTGCTGTTGTCATGCATAGTCTGCTGCCTTAATCAGCTCTTACGACACCCACGGGATGAAAAGGGATGGTGACACTTCATATAATTATCAAAATGAAGTGTAATTAAATTGTTACTTTAATTACATATAATAGTCCATGAGCTAGCGACAGACTTTCATGACAAAGTTCCTCTGAGTCGATAACTCGTAAAATGCTTCAGAGAGTTGTATCTTGAAGCGTTGTGATCATTGTTGCCAACCTAGTGAATTTTCCATTAAAAGTGGTGGTTTCGACCCCCCCTTTTAGTGAAGAAATTTTGCTTTAATTGGCTAGTGGTTTTTTTAGTGGTTTAGTAGTAATAGTAAGGTAGTAGAGGACTTAGGAAATGCTGTTGAAAGATGAATTGTAAGAACTGTTTGTGTACGCAAACCTCAAGAACGTTTGATAGGAAAGGAAGGATGGGAATTAGATAGAAGTGCTCTGAAAGGGCAGGATTATTAATTTTCGGCAATGGGATGATGTAGGCTTTGTACCAGAGAGAGGTTTCGGAGTCGTGAAAGAAGTCTAAAATGTAGGCCACAACTTCGAGGACGCAATCCAGAATGTCTATCATCCTACGGCTTGAAAGCCATTGCGTAACAATAGAAAAACAGAATGATCTTTTTGATGTTCCCAGAATGCACAGGAGAAAATTCAAAGTTGACAATATTGGATCTGGGCAGACTAGCGATATAATTCAGGGTCCTACTCTATGTTCAATGATAGAATAGAAGTTGGAAAGAGATGTTGCAACAAATATGAAATTCCAATAAAAGTTCTAAAACAAATCGGTACCAAAGAATCGTATTAATCTGGAACGGACGATGATGGTGGTGACAAAAACGATTAGTATCAGTATTAAATTTAATAAAGGAAACTAGTTATGAATATACTTATGGTTTTCTTTTTTTAAAACAACGCCCGCATGAGGTATGAATCCTGTATCGCTGAGGAGTTTATAAATTCATGAAACAACATTCATGAAACGGACACAAAGAACATCCAGACTCAGAACAACAATTTGTGGACCACACAAAGTGTCCTCCCATGTGAGGTTTGCACCTACAACACTCGGCGTAGTAGAAAGCAGCGTGGCGACCGCTTAAACCACTACTACGCCAACAGTGCAGTCGAATTTCGTAATTATGTAATTACTAAAAAAATGTTTAGTGGAAAATTTAGTGCCTATTAAAGTAGGGCCTTTTTTGTTAGTGGTTTTCTGGTGGTTTTAGATGTTGAATCTGGTGGAGAATTCATTTAACTATTAGCAGCACTGGTTGTGATCGTCTTTTGCGGCTCCGTGGGTGGGTTGAGCAGTGGTAGCCGTAATGTACCCACGCACGTAATAAAAAAAACTACCGATTGATCTGAAATTTATACATATACCGAATACTGTTACCGTGATGGTATTTTCACGTAATAGTAACCTGGAACTTGCTGCTGTATCAAGTAGTCTGCGGGATAGTCAACTCCTCAGAAAATTACAGCATATATCTTTTTTTTAATTATTCTAAATTATCGAAACTAAATAAGCGTGAGTCGCCACATTATTTTATAATCTATAAAATATATAAAATAATAATAATATATAATAATAATATAATATATAAAATAATATATTTGTTTAATCATATTTTTACTTAAAGTTTCCGTTTACGCTGTGAGTAAGACTAAGACAGTACCGCTTACCTACGTGAGTGAGAAAATTTAAGCAAGTATAAACCCAACTAGTAGTAAATGTTATTAGGTACTATTAATTTAAGTTGCAATAAATTATAAATTAATTGATTTTCTTTTTACAGTATTCCTTTACATCTATTTTTATGATTTGTAAAGTTTCTGTAAAAATATTGATTTAATCGAAACATCGATGGCGTATGCCAACTCGTCAGCTGATACATTTAAATAGGAGATAGATGATTTCGGCTGGCTCCTGCATTACACCTTTGAGGGCATCAGCTGACAAGCATTCCACATAGATATAGCCAGCTGACTGTTTATTTATTAATAGTAACATATAAACTTTCATGTGATAAATTTTCAGTTAGGTGGAAATCTCTGTACTCATATATATTTGTTTGATGTTCGTGTGACCAGCTGACGTATGATCCACCACTTCATGATTAACTGTCAATTTTTCTTTCTTCAAGATATTGGGCTAACTAAATTTGATAAATTTTCCATCGGGAAAAAAATACAGACGAATTGATAACCTCTTCTTTTGTGTTTTGCCATTCGTTTAAATGCAAATATTTCCTAAAACTGTTATCTATAAAATATATTATTCTCTAACTAACCCTTCTTAAATTAACTAAACATTGTTGATATATCTAAGCTCTTTTTTACATTCGAGAACTCTTCAAACGAAAAGTGTAAAGAGTAAGTAATTAAAAATATATATTTATTATTACGTGCGTGGGTGTCTACCACTGCCAACCCACCCACAAAACCGCAGCTGACGATCACAAAGTTTCAGGATACAACTCCCTAAAGCATTTTACGAGTAAGACTGAAAGGAAATAATTGACGAAATTTGCGCCTGGCTCAAGGACCATAAGTAATTAAATTATACGTTAATCTATGTAAAAATCGACGTTTTCGTGTAGGTACATACTTACACTGCGGTCACTTTCATTAGATCTTCACAAAATAACATGACAGAGAAGAATGACCTCATGACCTTTTTATAAAAAAGAGAAGCATTGTTCTCGAGAAATTGAAAATTACTAATACATAAGCGAAACTGGAGCCAATGCTAGTTATATGTAAATTACGAATGCCTGCTTTAGATTAATTACAAACTTACGTATGCGTGCACATGAAACAGTCAACAAACATCGTGTTCTTGCGATATCTGTGCGACTAGGACTAAAAAGCCCTCTATTTAGTAAAGGATCTCTTTCATAACGCCAGTGAGTAAAGGTACCATTATAACACAGCAAGGGGTACGCCTTGTGAATGTTATTAAAAAAATATAAAATTAGTGGCAGCAGCATCTTACCCGTAGATACCATTGTGTACTACTATTACTTACCTACTGTCAAATATGTAGAGATGCACTTTTATGGCCTACTAGATATCATACACATAAGGGCTACTTCCACATCTACTTGCTGACATAGATACAAAGAAATACAAAAAAGGATGTTAGGTACTTTATTTCATTCATTTTCTCAAATTCATTCTTATTTTCGGAACAAAAGTTCTACACCAATACGCATAAGATCGAAAATAGATTGTCGCGCGATTATCTTGTTTACATTTGAAACGAATTTATATTTCTCAGAAGCGGCCGGTTCTCGTAGCGATTGGAATTGGCTAGAATGATCTTTTACGAGTATTATAAATACGTACACGTATTTTTTGGAGTTAGTTCAGTTTCAGCTACAGTGTGATAAACATCGAAGCGATCGAAGTGAATATAAGTGTAACCTAGCGACCTCGGCGATCATTCCCGACTATTATTGAGTATTGTGTGAACGTCTTAAAGTGTAGTAATAATCTCTTTAGTCGTAAGAAGGCTTATTATTCCGAATCAACGAACCCTAACACGTAACAATATACTCTAAGAAAAAACAATAACATAAATATAGGTTAAAATAATTAAATGTTTTTTATTCGCGCACGTTAATAAACGAAGCAGACTAGCAATATGAAAACTAGATTGACAGAATGAATAATTATATACTTTTTTTGGAAATCCGTACATCCTTTATAGAAAACACACAAACTCTGAAACAAATATTTGCAGATCGTACAAACATTTTGTCCGACCCGGAAATCGGACCAAGGACCTCTGCACAACAGTCGCATACGCTACCACTGCACCATCGCAGTCAATCCATGAATTATACTACTACTACTATACCAAAAATCACTCAACGGCTAAAAGGTATTCACTCTAAAACAGTGGCGGATTTAGATATTTGCAGGCTATTACATTTTTGCCGCCCCTACTAACCTCTGCAATTCAATACTCTTTTTTTCCGTGTGGAAACCTCTTTAAGCCGAGTGAACCCATCGAAAACAGAGATGATCATGTTCACAAACAAACTTAGTCTAGGAAATCTCAGACTTCCCAAACTATTTGGAACGCAACTGGCTCCTAGCAAATAAGTCAAATACCTAGGAGTAATACTGGACAGTAAACTCCTGTGGAATAAGCACCTCGATGAAAAACTAAACGATGTTTCGGGATATGATGCCTTATCTGCTTGGGACGATCAATGAGACACTCGGGTGCCTTCGGGTGCACACCCCCCGCCCCCCCCCCCCACGGAGAAAGAAACCCCAAAGAAAAGAAAAAAACAAGCAATATTTACGGGTCCAAAACATCCCTAATTCGAACCCTTCGTCCGGTAGTTACTGGATTGGGGAACGGTGTTGAGCTGACTGGCAGCGGCTGCTGGACATCAGGCGTTGAATCTGGGGCTAGGTCGGGTTGGAGGTGTGCGGGCTCTGTCCTGTCAATACTGACCTCTATGCGTCTGCCGTTGACATTCAGTGAGTGAGTTTTGTCTGTTTGGCCCTGGATCTTTGGGGACGAAGGTCGTCTTGCAGCCGTGGCGCGTAGCTGGCGTCGGACGCAGGCTGGCTGCGATGCGACGGAGGGTTGCTAAAAGCTCATGGGTGTCTTCGGTTTTCGAGGCTCAGCCAAATTAATCGAGGAGTCGGAGGGACTCTCTGTAGACAAGTTCAGCCTAGGTTTTCTTTGACGGCCGTGCGCATGCCGAAGAGCACTAAAGGCAGTGCCCTGGACCATTTTTCAGCGTGCACATGATAGATGCCTTCAGTTGACGATGAAGGCGCTCGACCATGCAGTTTGCTTGCGGGTAGGGTAATTAGCGACTCAGGCGCCGGAGGTCGCATAACGACCTCCGTCCTCCATAAGCGCAGGCCTGGGGGTGACAGGTGAGGCCATCTGTCACCCTAGCAGAAGCAGGCCGGGGTGGCGGCGAGCGCGTTGCGAAGCGCGCGCGCTCCTCCGGCAGCACAGGGGGAACATGGGTGTACGTCGGGGCACCAGGGATTTCTTTTCTAGGGTACACCTGGTTCCCCGACTACTGGTACCTGAGACGGCGTTCGGTTTTAGTCGGTTCGAGTCCGACATTGCCACCGGTAAGTGGCATCCGAGGGGATTTCCACACAGAAAAAAAAAAAGGATGATGAGCGAGTGAGTATTGTATTAATAGAGCGTCGATGGAGTGTCGTAGGAATAGTTTGACACTTTTCGTAATCTGCTACTAAATAAAAGACCAATGGCCTTCCGATGACTTGTCGCTGATACAAAATGTTTTCTATGTCTGTTCAATAGTTTGGTAAACGGTAGTCTACAAGTATTTGACAGAATTGACAGTTGTTTCAATGACACCACGATGGCTTCAGGGTGAATAATGGTCGGGCACGCCGTCATCGCGGCGGTAAGACCCGTTATGGAGGATTGGCTCGAGAGGCGTCACGGGACCCTCTTATACCGACTAACGCAGGTGATCACTGGGAAAGGATGTTTCGGGGATCACCTGTGTCTGATCCGCAAGGAGAAACGCCTGAGTGCCACCACTGCGATGGCCAGACCGTGGACACGGCTCTCCACACGCTGGCAGAGTGCCCGGCGTGGGTTGAGCAGAGGCGAGACCTCGTGGCGGCCATCGGAGTGGGAGTTCTCTCGCTCGATAGCCTCATTGCGGCTATCGTGCGGAGACGGCGGAGCGGGACCGGGAGAGGTTTTGAACTCTCCCGGCCCGCCAGGCCCAAGAACGGGCCAGGTACCGCAGGCGACTCAGGCGCCGGAGGTCGCAGAACGACCTCCGTCCTCCATAAGCGCAGGCCTGGGGGTGACAGGTGAGGCCATCTGTCACTAGCAGAAGCAGGCCGGGGTGGCGACGAGCGCGTTGCGAAGCGCGCTCGCTTCCAGGGAGCAGAGGGAACATGGGGTTCCCACACGGGGGGGGGGGGGGGAGGTAGTCTACCTGTTGTTGTAGATCCGACATCCGATCCGATGGTGCCACTGATACTGTCTTTCCATTGCAACTGACACTGAGGTACCTGAACCGGCTACTATTGACCATTAATGCGACGGACAGTCCTCTTTGCAGAGGATGTCTGAAAGCAGAAGAAACGGTCGCCCACGAAATTCTGGAATGCTAGGAAGTGGCCACTCAAAGGCAAAGTATCATACCTAATACAAAATCGCTCCTAGGAGCCTGTGAACGCCCCCGGAGGCTTCTGCGCTTCTGGAAGGAGCTTGGTTGGCTCACCTAGCCAACCTTTCCTCGACGCATAAAGGACCACTCTTCAGTCAAATGCGGCAGCCAGAACCCACAACCAATACCCCCTCGGGCCGTCATACCGAGATTTGCGACGGGGCGGTGTGTCGGAATTAAACCGACTAAAACCATACCCCCCCCCCCCCCCCCATCGTCCGTCACTTCCGAGTCGGGCGTTCGCTTTTCGGTGCTATGTTGCGCTTGAGGGCCGTTACCGAAGAGGCGGTGAGCTTTGAGGGCGTGCTGTTGGCGGTGTCGTTGGACATCGCCGACGCATTCAATAGTCCGCCATTTAGTTGCATCAGGGAAGCACTCTACTATCACGCGGTGCCAGGGAACCTGAGGCGGCTGGTGGCAGACTACTTAGAGGAGCGTACCGTTATGTACCGAGGACCGAGATAGTGTTTTGAGGAGTCGGTCCATGTCGTGCGAAATTAGGGTACGACTGGGTTATTCGAGCTGATTTCCCCCACGGGTTGGGTTTAATTTGTTACGCCGATAACACTGGTCACAGCCCGGAAGGCTCCGTAGTTCGGTGTGTCTTCATTAGATGACGAGAGGCCAACAGTTGAACGTTGTACGTCATTTTTTCTTCTGCTTTCACAGCTTTGACTATCCATCTGGACATATATTATGAATAATATAGGTTAATACCGTATTTTTTATCGTATCGTATTTTTAGGGTTCCGTACCTCAAAAAGTAAAAAAGGAACCCTTATAAGATCACTTTCTTGTCCGTCTGTCCGTGTGTCACTACCGATTTTCTCAGGAATGGGTAGACCTAGCAAGTTGAAATTTAAACCAGATACTGAAGTCTATGGTCCCTATTAGGTGTAAAAAAAATCAAGGCCCTGAGTCAACACGATAAAAGGAGATGGGCAAATTTCGTTTGGTTTTGGTTCGAAAACCTATATGGTAGTTCCCGTTGACCTAAAATCACGAAATTTGGCAAAAAGAAACGTCTTACAGCACAAATAAAGGAATAATTCCAAAAAATAAAAAAAGTTGAAAATTAAGATAAATTTTGTTACAAATTTTCGCGAAAATCTACGTAAAATCTGGGTAGGTACGGAACCCTCGGCGCACTAGTTCGACTCGTACCTGACCAGTATTTTTTTTTCTTTAAGGCCGGAAAAATAAATTCATAAATCACCCACGTTAATACAGTTCAGTTGCTACATGTATTGCGAAGCTTTACTTGAGAAGGGCTTGGCAAAAATGTTTGATTTATTTCTCGTCCTTGCCCGCATTATTTGTATTAATACCAATTAAATATTATGCTTAAATATAGCTTTTTATGTTGTAAGTATATGAACTTTTATTACGTGTAATAAGGGGCATCTTGAAAGTTCTGAAGACACGTATTTTTATAACATAAAATAAAAGTGCTTGGCTTTTAGTCTATTTATGGTCTTTATGTAAAATATGAACTATATTTTTATAAACAGAAAATACATTTCTAGAAGTTTACAAAGAAAAATTATTTTATCGTAAAAAAGCGTGGAGCGTTTTTTCAAGATATTTTATAAAATAATAACTTTAACTATTATACTACTAATATAACTTGCTATTTTCCGTGTATATTAATCTTCTAATCCTGAGACTTCGGAGTGCGCAGGTATCATCTTTATGCCGATGACCTGCAGCTCTATTCACAAAGTAAGGTTGAAGATATCTCAATAACAATAGATATGGTCAATAAAGACCTGGAAACAATTAAGGTATGGTCAGACCATGCCTTAATACTCATAAGTAAAACCCACGAAATGGCAAGCTATAATAATTGGAAGTCACCGATTGATGAGCAGAGTAAACATGGAGATGCTTCCATCTTTTATCTTTAACGGTACTATAATACCTGTTTGTCAATCTGTTAAGGATCTTGGCTTGCTCCTCGATTCCACATTGAATTGGCGTGATCAAATTGCAAATCTGTGCCGGAGGGCTACTGGTACTCTTCGAGCGCTATATCGCCTGAAAAATTTTCTACCCGCAGAAACCAAAACCATGCTTGTGCAAACACTTATCTTCCCAATAATCGACTATGGTGACGTGTGCTGTTATGACCTGAATGCAGATCTTCTCGATAAGCTAGACCGTCTTCTTAATAACTGCATTCGATACATCTTTAACCTCCTTAAATATGATCGTGTCAACTTTCCGTTCGCAGCTTAACTGGTTACCCATTCGTCTACGTTGTAAATTACACGCTCTCACTGTCTTATTCAACATTCTTAATAACCCATCTTCGCCAACGTATCTACTCGTAGCTTCCATTTTCCAACTCCTATGTAGTAATCACGATAGAAACCTTCGGTCCTCCAATAACCTTCTTCTTCGTTGTCCGTCCCACACGTCTGAGTTTGTTGGCTCTTCCCTTTCTCGTTCAGTCCGTTCTTCTTTGGAATGCGCTTCCACTCGTAATCAGGATGGCTTCCAATACTTTTTCCTTTAAATTAAAAGTAAAGCAGTATCTGGTCAAATAACTGGCAGAATCAAATTGCACATGATTTCTTTTTATTTTAATACAAAATTGTTATAAATATCTACTTGCGTGTGTATGTATGTATTCATATACTTTTATACAGTATTTATATAAGGTATGTACTTATGTGTAATATTAATATGTATATGTGTAGTATATGACAGATTTGTATGTGTATATATTATATGATTTTTGTACAAAATCATATAATATATACACATATACACTGTATACTTTGTAAAGTATACATGTAATATAAAATGTCTAAAACAACTGTAACTAAAATGCACCTATTTCCTGTTTTCTCTGCATCACCCAATGGTTGACTGGTAGAGAATGCCATCAGCATTAAGTCCGCCAATGCACCAATATGCATGATGTGTAAATAAATAAACTTTACTTTTACTAATATCTGTCAAAAAGTATTCATGAAACACGGCATGCATTTTTACGATACAATGATTTTTCTTTTTGAACATTTATAAAATTATTTTCTACCTACTTTTTAGTTCGGCTAGTTCCAACAGCGTGTTTTTTTTTATAATTTATTTTTCATTTCCACACATGTATGTAAGATTTTAAAAGAAATCTCTGTTTTATAGCTAAATAAAGCTTGTTATTTAAATTTTCAATAATTCACCATTGACCTCTCGACTCTTGTCTACCCTCGGAAACAGTTTTTCTTTTGTCGATTGATTTAAACAGTTAGTCGTAAAAGCTTAGCCTGTAGGACCGTGGAACAATGGTTGCTGTTGGGAAGTTTTATAAGTACTCTTTGTTGTATAAGTAGTAAAAGAAGCGTGCGTTCACTTGTTTTCATAAAATTCTTTTACATACGCCAGCGCCGATGTTTGATGTAGAATGGATGCGGAAAAACAGCGGCATACATTATACATCATAATTAAAAAACTAGGTATATAGTTTCAATAATGTATTTCGTAGTTTTCATAAATTGATCACTATCCACTATCGGTGAGGTAACAACTCTTGTAGAACCATCTCAGCGAGCTACAATACTAAATTCACAATCTAACTGATAATTTCAGGGTGCATACAAAACATCTTTAATTTTCAAAAAGTCACATTTATAAGTTCACACATGAATAGGGAAAGGCGGGACGGAGATGCCCATTAAAATGCAGTGAGATATAAATCGATTACACATCGTTCCCACATTCAATTTATATTATTTTGTATTTACGAATAAATGTATTGAACGCACCCAGCACGCACACATCGACCGCCGCACATTCTCGAGGTGCAACTACAGAGTGGCTGTGGCTACGTGTCTATAGTTACAGAACTATAGACACGTAGCCACAGTGCTTGTAATCGTTCAACAATTTTATGTGTAGCAGCGCTTCGCTTTTATTCATTCTCGTAGTTTGGACCCAAAAAAAAAATACAACATTGCAGAAATGTAAGCTTAGGCGTTTTTTTTTCTTCACAAAAAACTTCTCATTTGAACTATGTACTCAGTCGTCCTACATTATTGCGCTCTATCTACACAACATGTTTATAAATGAGTTGTTGTGAAGTCAATTATTCTGACGAATAGTGAAAGTATAATTTAATTTTCTACTACTAATGTGGCGGCTGAGGAATATTTTGTTTAAACACTTTTTAAAAAACATTATTTTATACAAATTTAAAATTCAATATATAATCCAAATAACTAAGAGGCTATAAATGCAAAAAATATTGGCAAATTAAAAAACAATAAGTATATCACAATGTAAAGTTGATAAGTGACACTTACTGGAAAAACAAAAGTATCAATGCAACAAATTTCACCAGATTATTTAATTTCTATTGTGAGACAATTAGTTATGGCAAGTTTAACAAGGAATATCTACTCCATTCCCCTATAACAACATTTAAGTTACATAACAATTTGGTTACACATTTTGTTCACTGTAAATGCAAAACTATAAATTATTATCTAAACTAAAAATGTTTCCTAGTTATACAATCAGACATCCACTTCAATGTGAAGCAGACATATGATATACATGACTTTTTCGTCACGTCGACGTTAACGTCAAACAAATATCAATCATTCATTGCCTATAAAACAAATTGCAATCCAAATACTACCAAGTCCTTTTTAAAATATTCACAATTTTGATGAACTATAATGTAAGTATAACACTGAAGAGATTTATATTATTTGTGATATTTATAAATTTAATAAAATTATGTTGCATCTCTCATTTTAATAGGATTCATAAGATTCAACTGACATTTATGTAGACAGTGCACCTAGACGAAATACACAACTTTTTGAAATTATAAAGCTCTATAGAAAAAAGCAGCTTAATACAGCTCTAACACCATAAATTCATTTTAACAATGTAAAGAGAGTCGGCGGCGGTTAGGTACTAGTAGACCACAACGAGAATACCATCTGGCAGTAGTGTTCTATAGACATCTAAAAGTTTGCAATTAAAAAGATATGAAACTTAAATGTCCAGTATTTCAAGCAGTTTTAAAGCTTCAATTGATAACAAAATATTGGTAGGTAGTGTACCTAGAATGAATTTGCATACATACACTGAGAATAATTTGTGAAAACAGAGCTCTCTGGCTTAATTAGATGGCCAGGTTTTATTCTCGTTGAGTATGTGGCAAGCTACAGGGCAAAAGCCTAGCTTACAGTCCAATCCAATCCCCAGCGCTCCGACACTTTCAGTTGTGCTGCTGCTGCATCCTTTAGGGAGAACAGGTGCGTCATCTCCAGTTCTGTCTTGGCTAGTGAAATGGCTTTCTCAAATAATTCTAATGACCGTCTCAAGTTGCCTCTGAAATATATAAGAAAGCAAAAGTTCACTATCTAAACTAATCTATATCATTTTGGGTCAAATTATAATTATTTTTCTCAAATTAAAATTACTTTTTATCCAACCCATTTACCAACCCCATTACCCAACTAATTACAGTAAGATACACACACGCATAAAATGAGCGCTATCTTATGAAATTTCTATAACTAAATAAACTAAATCCATAAGGATAATCAATTCTGATTCTTATCTTAATAGAGAGTATTCTGTATGAAGTATGTGGCTACAACTAAAACTATTCTTTTACATGTAGGTATTAGATAATGTTTTTATCTCACATACTTGTAAGAGTGGCTGACATATTAAAGATAGTAACGGATAATAAATACCTGTAGCACTGCTATTGAAACACTGTATTTGATATCATTGAGTGATTTAAGATAAGATGATGATAGTTAATCTTGTAGAATAAGATGGAACTATTGTAATGATAAACTTGCATTTGATGCTAAGCAATTCTGCTGTTGCTTTTCAGTTAGTTAGTTAGGTTACTGGTGCCCAAACCCTCCCTTCTTATTCTGGAGGAGGACTCAAAAGGTAGAAACACACTTTTGACTCTTGAATTACAGGTGTCCAGGGGCGATGGTAGTTATTTACCATAAGTTGACCCTACTCATTTTCCCCCTATAAAATAAAATAAAATACATCCAAGGATTCATGGATGAAATATAAATATTTAACTCACCGCTGTACTTCAATAGTGCCCAATGTCTCATATGCAAAATCACATTTATCATCCATCTCAATGGCCTTGTTAATCAATTTGACTGCTTTATCAAAATCTGTACTCTTCTGCAGTTGAACTAATCCTTTATGGACATATAATGTAGCATTGTTGGGATCCACTGTAAGTGCAGAATCAAATAAAGCTTCAGCACGACCCCACTCCTGCTGATCAGATAACACTTGAGCAAACAATATATAAGCTTCAGCGCATCGAGGAAACCTTTCCAATGCACGTTCGAAATCTGCCCGAACCTGAGTCAAGGCTCCAACATTTTTGTTGATCTGTGCATGCCTATAATCAGCATAACACTTTTGAATAAATGCAATTGAAAAGTCAGGGTTTAATTCAACAGCCTTTGCAAATTCAGATGTTGCCTCATCCATACGCTCCAAAAGTAAGTACACTTGTCCACGATGATGGTAAATATCAGAGTTGTTGGGATCCAGCTGGGCAGCTCGTGCAAAGTCTTCCAAGCAGTGTTCAGTGTTTTCTAATTGTGTAAATAAAGAGGCACGCTTGATCAGTGCATTTACTTTCACTTTGATAGATGTTTCACTATCAATGACTTTAGCAAGGTCTGCTTGAGCTTCATCATGCCTGCCTAGCAACAAATAAAATGTTGCACGTAGCAAAAGGGCTTCATTTTTGTACTTTCCATCAGCGTCATTCAATTCTTCAGTACATGCATCCACAATAGATTCATAATCTTGAGCATCTAAGGCTTGCTTGGCTTTAGCAAATCCACCTACTACTTTATCATCAAGATGAAGTTTGGAGATAGGATCTTCTGAGAATGCTGAGAAATAGGTTTTAATAAAATGCTTGGAGGGCATAACAGGCCGTCTTTTAGCCAGGGCCTCGCGCGCGTGTTGCCTGCCAAGAGCTTTCAATATTCTATCAGCATTGACTAAAGAACTCTGCACTTGGAATCGTTCAAGAATACATGCAGAGGTAACATCTTCTAGGGCCAACACTAGATCTCCACTCTTTTCCGCTGCACGTGAACGCCTTAAAAATGCTTTGACATACTTTTCGTTGAGTTTTAGAGCAAACGTACAGTCTTCTTTGACTTGCTCCCACATCTCACGCTTCTCGTAACAAGCAGAACGATTCTGGTAGAATGTGGCAAGATCGACGGGACGATCTGGAGGACAAGCCTCGATCGCTTCGTTGTATAAAGCAATAGCTTTGTCATATTCGCCTGCATGAAAAGCACGGTTTCCGGCACCTTTCAATTTCATAGCGCGGTCGATAGCGCTTTCGGTAACCTTTGCATTATTATCTTCATTGTCTAATGAAATGGTAGTCTTGGCCTTCAGTTCAGACACCTTTTTCTTCTCTGGATCTTCTAATCGGTTTCTCAGATAAAGGTAACCTAAACCGATGGCGAGAGGTGCGCCAAGGAGAATCGCCAATTGCCATTTAGGAAAAGGTGTACTGCCTGTTGACGCCATGTCTGCTACGGAATTGATTCAAGTTATATAAAACCATAAACGATACACCATTAAGTTGATCACTACTGAAATATCGTAAATAGAACACCTAATTTTCAGTTTTCTTTACCGTTCTTCCCATTTCATTGATGTCTTCAAGCACGAAGGCAAAGCAAAACATAGACAATTTATTTGACATCTATATTTTTAGAAATGAATCATGTCATGTGGATTTTTTTGCTGCCAGTTTTTTTAGCTCTGTCTTATAGGTCTACCAGAATCTCATTGCTCGAAAAAACGAATGATTCACCGGTAAAATCACCGTCAAACAGTCACTAGTCCAGTGAATGACGGTAAAAATAAGGTTCAACCAATTTTTTCAAGAAAGATGGATGGATGGATTTACTTGAAAATTTGGGAATTAAGCTCTACTTACCTTCCTCTTCAAAATCTATGCCGATGTGTGCTGATGACTCCTAGGGGTAAAAACTACCCCTAAATGACAAAATTCATAAATTTAGGCATTCAACTAATGAAATAATGTATACAACTTTTGATTAAAAATAGTTTAAACACTATTTGTGAGTTTTCAACCCCTAATTTATTCTTTATTTAGTAATTTAAATCGCATATAACTGAAGAAAATTGGTATAATTAGTTTTCATCACCATAATTAGTATTATAAATACTAAAATATAATACACAATATAATATCATCATCACTATCGATGTCTTCTTCATCGTGTTGGTCTGTAATTGGAGATCTATTCTGTCAGTTTCAACCAGAACATTCACCACAAGTTGAATTGCAATTGCAAAATAAAAAGTCCGACTTTTTCACAGCTACAAGCACCACACCCTTTTTTGCAGTTGCAGAATATCATTTTTAAGTTTTTGTGGTGCTGGAGTATTCTGCATTACTTTAGGTACTAAGGACCCTTCAATTTTTGTCCACCCTCAATCAGCTGGTTTCATAATTTTATAGCCAAGCTAAATTTGAATCTGCAGATAATTCGTATGCTTTCGTTAATTTCGCATGCTCATTTAGAGCATCAACTGTAGGAACAAGCGATGATAATTTAACGCCACATATACATATATATATATATATATAGTATTATATATATATATGTATATATATATATATATGTATATATATAATATATATATACACTCACACACACAAGACCCATTCACTAGGTGCTAATGATGAGATCTCTCTGTATAGTATACAACTTCCTTAAAACATTTTAGCTTAAAATTCATTTACCTATTGATTCCTGTTTTTTTAACCGCATAATCCATCTTTCTTGAAAAAATTGGGAGCCAAAAACCGTCATTCGCTGGACTACACCTGTCAAATCAAATCAGGACATTTCTTTCACACCGAACCTTTTATAAATTTCCTAACCAACCAAGATTTATTCTTACCACTAATAATATCTTTTTCTCCATTTGCAGATCTGTTCATTTTTTGTTCAATGTTTTCATGATTTTAATTAACTGTATTTTCGAATTTATACAAGATTTGCTGTATCAGCAACACGAGCTAATTAAAATATTCTTTTCATAAATATATAATTATTTTATTAAATATATTATTATTTTATTGAAAATATGAATACCCAGAAAGAAACTCTTTTTTTAATTTTGTGATTTACTTTATAAGATTGGAATTTAATATTGTTGGCACCGATGTTCGGGTTCCGAGTGACTGTGAGCATAGAGATTTAAGAATAGTGTGAATAACAGCCGCAATCTTGCAATATAGGCAACGAGATGGAAATAGATAGTTCCCTCTATTCTTTCTAGTCGAGTTCTGTGGTGTGCTGAGGAATATATGAGGGTTAATAAGGAATACAGAGTTGTTTTTTTTTTATTTTGCCAAACTCTAAATTGAAAAGCTGTAAATAAAAAATATGTGTAAATAAATTTACTCTCCTCTGAACAAACATAGTTTTTAAACGTAAGTTTAATTCTTACCTCACTTTCATTTTATAGTGTAAGTAATTTAATAATGTAATACGATAGTCGTATATGTAAAATAAGTATCATCATCATCATCATCATCATCAGCCTATCGCAGTCCTTGAGTGGAGACCGCGTCTCGGCAAACGTAGTGTAGGACGCCCACAGGCCAGGTGGAGTGACGATTTGCGCAAGATGGCTGGCAGGAGCTGGATGCGAGAAGCCCAAAATCGATCTAAGTGGCGTGCAATGGGAGAGGCCTATGTCCAGCAGTGGACTGCGATAGGCTGAAAATAAGTATGTTAGGCTTTAAATTGTTAATACACTGTGTCTCATTTTACTACATTTAGTTATTTAATTTTAAATGACTTAAAAGGTAAAACGTATAGTTAATTCTTTTATTTTAAATTTGAAAATACAGTTTAACATCCATATCTCTCTCTGTGTGTGCATCGCTTCGCGTTCTCTCTTTCTCTATGCTTTTATCTCTGTAGACGAGACAGTGAAACTGTCAAGTGTTATGTTTGCAGTTTTCATTGTTTTGGTTGGGAAAGGAGTAAAATAGATATTACTTAATTGTTTTTTTACATCAATATCAATTTGTTTTTTCTGTAGAATTAATATAGTTATGTAACTTTCATAAGCAGAAAATAACATAACCTTATTTGGTACCAACATATGATTATCAAGATATAACCATTAAGACTACAAATACTAATAAACATTTAACTAAACATGTTTGCTTTCAAAATATTAAATATTGTGAGTGTGCTGTATGTGATTGATTTTATTTCATGCAAATCATTAATCATTTGAAAATTTAAAATATTTTGTTTTAGGTTAAATTAGGTCAACATTTGAAGCCTCATAGACTATTCAAGTCCAAATTGCCTGCAGTTCACATTACACAGACGAGGTTGAAAAATGATTTATATGAACCTGATTATTTAATTGTAAGAAAATAACCTTTAATATTATACACCATATAACTTATTATACCTCACAAAAGTCATAGCATTATTAATTGTGGGTTCGATTCCTACGCAGGACAAATAGTGTGTGTGTGTGTGTGTCTGAGTGTACTTTAGCTATAATTTATGTAAGTATTTTAAAATATATGTTTATTAGCAGTGTGTAGTGTAGTGTAGGGACGAATTAGGAATACAGAATGTCACTACCCCAATTCATCCCTAAGGTGTCCTAAGAGCCAAAGGGCGCAAAACAACGCTGGACACCAGCACTGCAAAAAGAAGGAATACTTGACACAAACCCTGCGGGCACCACCTTTGGGTACATTCTCTATTTAGGCGACGTCCGGCACACGCGGACGTCGCCTCCTCGCGGCTGGCCGTTATGGCAGGTGGAGGGGAAAACCCGTCCCGTCCACCCGCGGCCACACTCAGGGCGGCATGAAGCGGTGATGAGCGCGCCTCGGTCGCGATTGGGTCCGAGTGGAGGCTGTCCTCCCGGGCCCTCTCCGCCGCCTCCTTCCGCGAGATGACGTCTTCGCAGAAGGATGCGACCGCTGTAAAACATCTGTCACTACCGGCCATGGAGCGTATGACGGCCGGTAGCGAGAGATTCCCCCCGATGACTGCAAGGAGGACCCGGCGCTGCGGCGCCCAAGCCGGGCAAATTGCCAGCGTGTGCTGCGCCGAGTCCTCACTGCAATCGCAGTGGTGACAGGCGGGACTCAATTCCCTCCTAGCGACCGAGTGAAGGTACTTCCCGAAGCAGCCATGCCCGGAAAGGACCTGCGTCAGCCGGAAAGAAAGGGTCCCGTGCTGCCGCCCTGCCCACTCGACGATGACCGGCTGGAGCGCCTCCACGGCGGCAAAGCCAGCACGTGGAGCCTCCAGCCGGGACGACCAACGAGCCATCGTGGCTCGGCGAGCGACCTCACGCCACTCGCTTATCTCTTCGGGCGGGGGCCGACTGCCACTATCCGCCCGGAAACTAGCCGTCCGCCGATATGCTTTGGCGAGCACTTCTGCCTTCAAGTCCCACGGGGGAGTACCGGCCAACGCGCACGCCGTTTCCGTCGAAACGGTGCGGTAACCGCGTATGGCTCTGACCGCCAATATCCTCTGAGGGCGCCAGAGGCGTGCCCTATTCTGAGCGGTCAGAGCCGCCGCCCACACAGGTGCACCATACAGTGCCATTGACCGGAGAACCCCCGTGTACAGCCGTCTCGTTGCGACGCTGGGTCCACCCAGATTGGGTAGAAGTCGCCCAAGGGCAGACGCAGCGTCGACCAGCTTTGGAGCAAGCTGTCGGAAGTGCTTGTCGAAGAGCCACCTCCCGTCGAGGATCAGGGCCAGATATTTCATATGGTCCCGAACCGGTACGAGGACCGAGTTGACCACGATTGAGGCGCCGGGGGGTGGACCACTACGGGGCCCATGGAATAAGAGGGCCTCCGTCCTATCCAGGGCCACCCGTAAGCCCAGCGCCTCAATTCGCCCGACCACCAGAGAGACGCCCCTGGCGGCCCCCCGGGCTGTGACCAATGTATCATCGGCGTAACAAATTACACCCAGCCCAGGGGGAAACTCAACTCGAAGGGCCCAGTCGTACCCTATGTTCCACAGGAGGGGTCCAAGAACAGACCCCTGTGGAACACCGCACGACATGGGCCGACACCTCAGATTACCATCTCGGTCCTCGTACACGACGGTACGCTCCTCTAAATAGTCTGCCACTAGCCGCCTCAGGTACTTGGGCACCCCATGAAAGTGTAGTGCTTCCCTGATGCAGCTGAATGGCAGACTATTGAATGCGTTGGCGATGTCCAATGACACCGCCAACAGCACGCCGCCACAGCTCACCGCCTCTTCGGTCACGGCCCTCAGGCGTAGCACAGCGCCCACCGTCGAACGCCCCACTCGAAAACCGAATTGGGCGTCCGACAGGTCGGGGCCCACCTTGTAGAGGTGGCGGACGATGCGGGCAGAGAGCACCCTCTCAAACAATTTACCCGCCTCGTCCAGCAACACAATGGGCCTGTAGGCCGCGACCGAATCGGCAGGCCGTCCCGGCTTCCTCAATAGGACCAGCTTCCCGCTCTTCCAGCACTCAGGAAACGTCCGGACACCAAGCTGGCGTTGAACACCTCCCTGAGGCGGTCTGCCATGTGGTGAAGGGCTAGGGCCAGTACTCGGGCCGGTATCCCATCTGGCCCAGGGGCGGTGTTCTTGGAACGGATCCGTAGAACAGCCGCCCCTACCTCCGAATCCCGGACGGGCGGAACATCATCCACGTTGCGGGAATAGGCCCTCCACCACTTCCTGCAGGAAGCTGGGCTGGAGAGTCTCCGTAAGGGGGGTCCCGAAGCGCGGAGCTTATGTCGCACCGCGCGATAAGGGCGACCCCAGGGGTCACGATCGCGACCCTCCAGCTTCTCCTTTCTCTTTATCTCTTTGGCGCGGCTAATGGCCAGCTTCAGAGTTTTCCGCGCCTCTCGGTACTCCTCATGAAGCCGGTCCTCCTCACCGTCTCCACGGTGACGCCGCCGACTGCGCGTGTAGGACCTCCGGGCACGTGTATAGGCAGCACGGAGGTCCTCCAGCTCTTGGGACCACCAGGGAAAGGGGGAACCCCACGCAGTGGAACTTGACACAAACCCTATACCAACCCATCTAGCCAGTGTGGTATAGTAGGCCAAAACCTCATTTCTAAGGAGAGCCTATGTCCAGCAGTGGACTATTAAAGGCTGTTGATGTGATGATGTGATGATTAGCAGTCTGGTTACCTTAGTACAGGCTCCGCCCAGTTTGGGATCAGAGTGGCGTGTGAGATGTGTAAAAATATTATTATTATTGTTATATGCAGTACAGAAAAGTGTATTCTTAATAGGTTGTTTTTACTGTGGGATGGCTATGCTTTGGCACAAATGGGCGGGCTCAACTGTAGTGATAGCACACTGCTTCATAAAAACCTGGTGTTGAGCAATTCTCTTGTTGCTTTTCACCAAGTAAATGAGAATTTAGGAGGGTATGTTTTTACCTAATTCTGCCAGAAGGACAGTTATGTTTTCCGAAAGTGTGTGATGTATGTATGTGTGTTTATTTCTTTGGTACTTCTTGTAGCCTAATCAGCTTGATGAATTTTGGGGTTTAAGGTTAGATTAGTCTTAATCGTGAAAGTCACACTGGGTGTATGAAAATAATAAAAATGAAAATCACTGATTTTAAAATTTTGAGTATTCACATTAATTCCATCTGGTTTTTTGTTATTTTTTTAATAATTAATTTGTTGCTTATATAATGATTGAATTATTGATTGATTGACATGATTATATGTCATTATTAAAAAGGGACCTTATTTAGTAATTATATATTATGATTGTTATATTTTTTAATATTTATTAAAAAATATAACAATCATAGTAGTAAAATAGTAATGAGAATGGATATTTATTAATTTCAGAGTATGGAGCCAGATGAGCCTGTGTATGATTGCCTCAACTTGCAGTTAAAGGGTTATGACTTTACCCTTTTGGAGGCCTGTCAAAGCCAAATACACAGATATGCAGAGGTTATGGGCTTACAAGTAGAGGAATGGTGTGTATAAGTATTACTAAGTTTCCTATAGTGTTAAAAGTGTATGTTGCACTTTCCATCAAATAACTTACTAAATACTAATATCAATATGTATGATGTAAGTAATTTGATGGATGGAGACAACATGTATCCTATAAATCTTATATAAAAAAAACACTAGGAGAGTCAAAAAGTTAACAGTTTTATATAAACCAATAATTTTTTATTAGACACCTATATAATATAAGAAAGATTTGGCCTAAGCCAAATATTAATTAAATAGGTGTCTATACAAAAACATAAAATTAATAGTATAAAGATGTCAAAATAGCTTTTTATTAAGTGCATAAATAAAATAAAAAACCCTTTAGCCTTTGGCATGTACATTCGTATGAATATTATTGGGTGTGGATAATGTTAGTCCAATATAAATGCCATCTAGACCCCTCTTTGGGTGCAGGCCTCCTCAAGAGATTGCCTCTTGTCATGATTTCTTGCTAGGTTGGACCAATTACATGTTCGGGCGGTCTCAATCTCGTCCTTCCACTTTGCCTTTGGTCTCTCACTGCTTCTGTTCCCATGAGGTCTTCTCCATATAGTTACGGTCTTGGTACACCTGTTGTCAGTGTAGCGTGGCACATGACCCGCCCACCTCCATTTCAGACCTCATACGAAGGACAAGGCATCTATTACACCAGTCTGCTTTCTTATTGCCCTGTCACAGACTCTGTCCTCCAATTTTATTTTAAGTGAACTGCATTCTAAGGCTCTTTAACATGATTTTAGCTTTCTGTTGATTGTTGAATCAAATATCCACGTTTGACAGTCAAATCTGAGACAGGGTAAGTGGCATGGATCCATTACTTTCTTTTTTAATTTAAGTCCATGTACCATGTGTCCATAAATTTTTCCATGTGATTGATACACGCCTGTCTATTTCTTCTATGTTGTTACTTTTGCAAAGGGATACCTGTATGCCTAAGTAGATATAGTCATCAACGTAATCTATGATCTTGCTATTTATTTGAATTGGAGTTCTGTGGTGGTTAGACATGACTTTCGTATTTGAGATGTTCGTTTTCAGGCCGACGCTTGTACTTACGTTATCAAGCTCTGATATCATACATTCGAGCTCTGCTTTTGAGATCACGATATCATTACATAAGCAGGGTAGATGCAATTGAACAAAAATCTTAAAACTGCTATAGCTGTTCTAATGTTACCTATTTTACGTAGTTAGTATATAAGTGGGGAACACCCAAATACTCCGAAATATTGTATTCCGCATTTCGATGTCCCGATTTTCAAAAGTCCGAATTCTAAAGTCTATGATACCTAAGAATTATAATATCTATTATTCAAATTCACGAAATTAATTTTACCGAAAGTCGCGATTTGTTTGTTTTCCGATTTTTATACGGTCGAAGAATCAGATGCTCGATGGGTTCGAAAAACGAAATTCCGATTTTCAATACTTCGATTAAACTGCTGAAATTAGTATTCTGATTCAGTTAGTATAATATTCAGTTCTCCCTCTCTCTCAAGTTAAGCCCTTGTCGGTGGAGCAATCGCTGCTCTTCTCTATTTCCTGCCATCTGTTTGAGCTCTTGATAGACCATGACTCCCACTTTCTCCTTCACTTGCTGTATGTATGTTGATCTAGGCCGTCCTCGTTTTCTATTCGAAATCTATAAGTAAGGTTTAATGAAATTTAAAAACGTCTATTTTTTATATATTATTATATTTGTGTATTATTATTTTTTGTTTTCTTCTAGTTATATATACCTGCGTCGGTACGATCTACTGTTATTGAATTCCTTGGGTTAGGATAGAACTGTGATCATTAAAGCGCGAAGGCAGCAAACGTTTGGTGAATCATTTCGGTTACGTTAGGTTAGCACTGTGACCAGCGAAAGAAAGTGTTTTTATTCAAAAGAAAATAGAGAGAATTCGAAAATAAAAAATGCCTTTGCAAAGATGCGTCGATTGCATGGGTGATTACTTCGAATAACAGAAATAAAAAAGTTTCAAAAAATAGGTACTATCACTTATTGCATACAAAACGGCAATTTCATAGGTAAAGACTTATTATATAAATCTATAATCTGTAAAACTGTAATCGAATTGTATGTACAAAGAAATGATATTGATATCTCTTAAGAATCGGATCTTGTAGCAATCGATTTCTTTGACTCTCCTTATTCTTCAATCTGTCAGAACTGTCAAACGGTGTCAAACGGGCCATAGTAATTTAATACATGCTGAATATGTTTTTGAGATTTGTACTGTTTATAAAGTTTATCATCCTAACTATTCGCATGTAATTATAATATTTCTAGAACTTAACTAAAAGTTTATAAATTATTCTCAAAAAAATGTTACAACTCAACTGCAATAGCTAAACGGTCAAGTTTTGTCAGCAAAACAAGTTCCTATATTTTCTGAACTTCATCATCATCAGCCTATCGCAGTCCACTGCTGGACATACGAGTAGGCCTCTCCTATTGCATGCCCCTTCGATCGAACTTGACATGCATAAAATATATATTACATAAAAAAACGATATTTTTATATCGATATTTACTTATTTAGATATCGTGTAGCAGTTAAAAACAATCATGTTTTGTTACTAATATTGACTGTACAGATTAGACTAATTAATAAACAAAAGAAATTTTTAAACCAATTAATTTAAGGAAACAGACTTATAGTTTCTGTTCAAATCGATTAGTTTTCCTATATCCTAGGAATACAAGATAAGTTTAAGAATTACCTTCCATTGTTTACTATAATGACAACAGATCAATTGATGTTAGAGAAAATCACGTCCACGAGCGATTTTAGCGGCGCATTGCTAGGTGCAAACCTTTTATATAGGTTTTTTGTAGTAATAATAGCGCAAAAACAATATCCTTGCTATTGAGAAACGTTGACAGTAGAAAGATTTACGAAGTTAACAGTGCGATTTTACAAAATGACTGTAGATAAATCTTCTATGACATGTGGGAGATCGAGAGAAGATCGGAACTGAATTTTGAACGAATTTTCATTACGAGAATTGACCCTCAGGCCGCATTTCCATGTGATGTGTGATCCACAAATTGTTGTTCCAAGTCTGGGTGTTATTTGTGTCCGTTTCATGTATGTTTGTAAAGTCCCCCGCGACACAGGGTATATTCCTAATGCGGGCGTTGTCTTTTTTAAAAAAATAAAAAAAAAAATAAAAAAAAAAAAAATAAAAAAAAAAATTTTAGGTAAGAATTTGCTTGCTTCGCATGAGAAAATTGTTCATTGGGCTGTGAGTTTAACTACCTTCCAGGGTTTCATGAAGATTAAGTTAAGGTTTAGATTTCTCATGTCACTTACTGTAACTACCTACTACTTGCCTATGAGATAATGCCTATTCAAAAGTTAATAACAATTTTATTGTTTCTCGTTAGTTGGGCGACTCCTGCACAACAATTAAAGGTTCAGCGCTTTAAACCTGGCGGGACTGCACTAGACGCAGAGTATCAACTAAATGTCTATGAAAGAAATGTGCAGGTAATGTAGATATAAAGTATGTACCGCTCCCAAAACGATACATTTGATCATCATTTGTTCATGAAAAAAACATCTATACTGATATAAAAAATACAATAAAATACAACAACAAATAAAATACATCTTTTAACAACGTCTTATAAGCATTATTAACGCTAAATTAGCACACTGCACATGACATAATTGCGCTTTAACTTTTAAGTAAATGTAAAAATGTATTTTATTTAAAATTATCGTTTCATTCAATTTTTCTAATTCGTTTTCGTTAACGTTGTCCTAGAATTTATTAGTTTGTTTTTTATCTTTCCACGAATCATTCACAAATATCATTTTTAAGGTATCTTAACTTTTAGGCTTTAGCCTGCGTGACCTTGTTTTTTTTGTTATTAATATAAAAACAAAGTTTTATTATACACTAGCTAACCCGCGCAACTTCGTTTGCATCTCTCAATAGTAATAAATTTTCTCCGTTTTTGAAACATTCTTCATTGGTGCTCCGCTCCTATTGGTCTTAGCGTGATGATATATATCCTATAGCCTTCCTCGATAAATGGGCTATCTAACACTGAAAGAATTTTTCAAATCGGACCAGTAGTTCCTGAGATTAGCGCGTTCAAACAAACAAACAAACAAACAAACAAACAAACTCTTCAGCTTTATAATATTAGTATAGATAATAATATATAAATATAAACATTGACGGGCCTGTTGGTCTATTGGTTAGTGACCCTGACTGCTAAGCCGGAGGTCGTGGGTTCGATTCCCACTCAGGATAAATAATTGTGTGATGAACACGATGATTTATTCTGTGTCTTTGTGTTATTTATCTATGATATGTATGTATTTAGAAGTATATAGGTATGTTTATCAGCAGTCTGGTTCCATAGCACAGGCTCTGCCTAGTTTGGAATCAGACGGCCATGTGTGAGATGTGTGAAGTTATTATTATTCCTTAAAAAAAATATCTTACTGAGGAACAAAACCGCATCGATATCTGTAGAAGGTTTAGAAGGAGTTAGCAGATATGCAGACCGACATATAAAGCGACAGAGAAGTGAAGTGGGAAAACCTATATTTATATAATATTTGTATATTGCCTTGAGAGAAAATTAATGAGGATAATATTTTTAGAGTAAGCCGTACACAAGGTTTTTTTTTTACCAGGTAACTGATGTTCCTGCCTGGGCATTAGGCACTCTGTTACGAGTTGCACGCGCTGTGTTGCCGGAGGGCTGTACATTAAGGGTGCACGAACACGCGATTGAACACGAAGAAATACGTTACGTACCCGACAACCAACTTATTGACCTCAAACAACAACTACAAGACATGGGCGGCAGTCGTGCTGAAAAGAGAAAGCAACGTCGATAAAATATATAATCTATTTGTACCTTTGTTAGCTGTAGCTGTAATAAATTTATTTATTAGTTAGATTTATTTGTCTTACTTACGTTCTACGCCATACAGAACTTGACTATTAAGTAACATTGCTTCAGAGTAATGTAGTTTACTAAACTTGTTTTTGTTCAAATATTTCTGTGTACACACAGTAATATTATGTTTCTATATAACACGACTGTATGTACGTGTGTGTATGTTATATAGAAACATGAATAAATAAATATGTTTAGAGGCAGCCTGAAGGCCAATTCTCGTATTTTAAAACATCAGAGGCAGAAATCAACCCGTCTGGCCAGCGTGGTATAGTAGGCCAAAACCTCCTTTCTCAGGAGAGGCTTATGTCCAGCAGTGGACTATTAAAGGCTGTTGATGATGATGATGATGAGAGGCTGAAACGTGATTGTATCGAGACTGAATTATGAATTGACTATAAATAGGTATTCTGCCAACCAAAAAATACAATCCAGTCTCAGTTCAATATAATGTCAGTTCAATTTCATGACGATCTATTAACTGATATAGATTTAAAATATGAAGTAATACACAAAACTGATACTTACAGAATTGTTTGTCAACAAATCACCATAATCAATAATTAATTCTTGGGCCGCCATGCCTCGATTGAAGGGGGAAGTGTTCTCCCCTGGGATAGGGCCTGATTAGGCATGGTGTCAATTCGGGGAGGACCTGAAATAACATGGTCCGGGTCCTCCCCAGAGTAGGACACCTAAGGCCGGCCGTCGGGGTGGTTTTTAGTGGAATCACCACATGCTGCTAGCTCCTGAGTCCCCGAGGAGCAGGAGATCCGAAGGGATTTTCAACCCCGTCAACAAAAAAAAAAGCCAATAATTAATTCAAGAGTAATTGTTAAAACTTGAAATAAAAAATTAGGCATAGAGATATAAGAGTGACATTAGAATTAAACTTAGGTGTGAAAAAACCTTTTTGCATTCAAATCAATTCTAAATTTTTTGTTTTGAATTTACAGCTTTTCATGAAAAAGAGTTTTGCGAAATAAAATAAAAACATCTCGGTATTCCATATTAACCTCTCATATTCCCCAGCCAACCACAGAACTCGACTAGGAAGAGATAGAGGGAACTATCTATCATCCATCTCTCTTGTTGCCTTTTTTGCAAACTTGTTCATTCTATGCTTATATCTCTATGACATAATGAGTACCTAAACAAGTTTTTCCTCATCTACCAATTAGGGCTGCTCCATGATTTCATGGAACAGCTTATTAAACATACGTGCTTAGGTACATTGATGCCGATAAGAGTAAATGGAAAAAAGGCAGCGCTCTTTTAAAAGGTTTGTGAAAGCCAATCACCAAAATTCTGAATTCAATGGTGACCAAAATATAAAGCACAGAATTTCTGTCACTTAAGGAGGACAAGCAAGTACAACAAACCTGACTCCATTTTAGGAACCTTTGTTTTATATTAGGAGGCTGCAGTTCGCCTTTGCCAGTCTGCTATAATCCAATTTTATGTGTATATTTACCTAATAAATAACTATATATAGGTACTTTAATTTGTTATTGTTCACCATTTTTGGCTTTTCTATTGTACTGGCATCGGGACGATGATGACAATCATGACACCAGGGAAGATATTTTTGGGGAGGGATATACCGCCACAGTGTGTATGGCCATATAAGTAAGAAATTGTAATTAGGGTGGTGAAATGTATTACTACAAGAGTAATATTTTTTATTTCACTGAACCAGTAATATATCTTTCCAATGGGTTAAGTAGTATCTAATTATAATCTAACTTATCCTTTACTCAATATAGAAGTAGTTGCAACCAAATAAAAATGTTAGTACAATCAATCCATCAATCAGTTTATTTTCATTGCGAACATGGGTTTACAATTAGGTGTTACAGTTTTAATAATTTTTTCTGCCACATCCTACCTTTAGGCATGCAATAAGATAACATTAATAACGAGTTTGAGCTTATTTAATATATCATACGAGGTCAGAATTCTATTTTATGTCAATATCAATTAAAATAACAATTACAATTTTATTATTAAAAAAGAAAAAATGTCATAATCGTGATAAATAATGTATCACATTTATTAAAAAAACTGCATTAATAGAGGGTATATTGTACTTATTAAAAACATGCATTCCATTATATTTTCTCCATTGTTGCGGTAAATGGTTGCGGTAATTACTGGAGCCATACAGAAAACACTTCTACGCAGCTTCTGAACATTGATACTGAAAGTAAGTTTTACAGCTATCACTTGTTTTTAGTTTAAACATTGACCGTATGCATCTCTTTTGACACTTAAAAGCAATTAATGTATCTGTAGAGTTACCCCAGAAAATGATGCCGTAGCGTAAAGTTGAGGCAACTAAACCGTAGTATGCGGTCATCACTGTTTCTGTGTTGACAATTGACGTTAACGTATGCAAAGCGAATGCAGAACTACATACTATTTGCAAAGCGTCTCTCTATGTGATTTCCAATCTAGTTTTTTATCTATCGTTAACCCGAGGAACTTCGAAGTCGTAACAGTTTCTATACTATGATTGTCAATGTTTATATTTTGGTATATATAACTGATTGGAGCGATCCGTTGACTGAAATGTATAATCTTAGTTTTATTTAAATTGTTAATGTCAAGCCAGTTTATTATGGATGTCAAGGAATTCGTGATGTCATATTTATATTGAGTTATATCATTATTACAAGATATTGTAATTGTGCTATCATCTGCGAAAAGCGTTACAGTATTTTTTTGTACATTTTGGAAGGTCATTAATATATAATATAAAAAGTAGAGGTCCCATTACGCTCCCTGAGGGACACCGTACAAAAAAACAAAACTCATCTGAAAGATATGGCTCCTCTCGTTTAGTAGTGGGGTTTATTATTGCTATTTCGGTACGTTGTTTTCTGTTCTCCAAATACGATTCGAATAACTTTAGGACATTACTTCTCACTCCATAGGCATCTAGTTTTCTAATTAGTATATCATGTTTTACATAATCAAATGCCTGTGTCATATCACAAAATATTGAGCATACAGGCGTTCGTTTGTCTACTTTCATCATAATTTCATGAAGAAAATTGCCAAATTCAAGGTTTTGTTTTCACGAAATCAATTTTGTTCATTGCACAATAGATTATTTTTTTCCAGATATAGGTACAGTTGCGGATGTATGAATTTCTCAAATACTTTGGAGAATATGGGAGTTAAAGAAATAGGCCTATAATACTCCATAAGCTCCCTATCCTGTTTCTTAAACACTGGTTTTACAATTGACTGTTTAAGGGCATCAGGAAAAATACCCGAAGTTATACATAGGTTCGTAATGTGACACAGATGACCGCTTATTTCATGTGCTACAACTTTAATGACCTTAGTAGTTATTCCATCATATCCAATGCTGTTCGTGTTTTTAAGATTATGAATTATATTTAATATGTCTTGCGGTACACATAGGGACATGAACATAGATTTGCTTGTACTTAAAATGGGTGTGGTGGTTTTTAGAGACGTTGTTTTAGGCTGTATTTTATCGATAAAATAGTTATTAAATTCATTCGATATTTGTATTGGATTCGTAATAATAGTGTCATTTATTTTTAATCTATTTATCAAAGATTTTAGTAAATTTAATTTCGCCTGATTAATAATTTGCCATGACGTTTTATTTTTATTCCTAGAATTATTAATTTTGTAATCATTTTGTGCTCGTTGAGTTAGAAACATAATTCTTTTTAATAATTTTGAATATGATTTAAAGCGGGATTTATTTTCTGGGTTAGGCTTTAATCTTTGTAGCCATAGTAACTGCCTTTTCTTTTTGTTACAAAAATGTATCAAAGTGTATCAAGGTATAAAAGGTATCAAGTGGTATAAAAAAAAAAATACCACTTGATACCCATTTTGTCTTTTTAATTATATTTACATTAACTCTAACTTTTAGGAAACATAAATTATAAAACAGTTGAAAGTCCTCTATGAAACTGTTGTAAACCATATTTGGATTGAGGGTATTATAAATTTCAGAAAATTTTATAGCATTTAGACAACTTTTAAATTTTAATAAGTTTTGTTGACAATAATTTCGTCTAAACCTATAATATTTGTCAATTTTGCATACTTTATCTGTCGGGCATTTTATTAGCTGCGCTGTGTGGTCAGAAAGAGCAAACTCTATAATCTCCGTTTTGCAAGGCTTATTAAAATTTGGTATATCGCAAGTTTAAGGTTAAAGTTGAGCATAATACGTTCAAATTCAAGTGATTGGTAATTCGATTTTAAAACATTAATATTGAAATCGCCAGACAAAACAATATTATTATATCGTCTTTTTCTGGCTACTTGTAAAACATTATGTAACCTACTGAAAAAATCGTTCAAATCTCTCATATTTGGTACTCTATAGATACAAATAATAGCAACATTTGATTTAATAATTTCTACGGCACTGCACTCAAAAGTTTCCGGTATTGACATTCTTGATATCCTCTCTAGTTCCTTCCATTCATATCCTTTTCTGACAAGAATGCATGTTCCGCCTCTTTTAGTATTTTTTCTGATTTTTTCTGCTGTAATGTGAAGCTAAGACATAGTTAGGTAAATTTAACAGGGATTCGCAGCCTTCTGACATAAAGTGTTCAGTGATGCATATTTTATCAACATCAATTCCTTTGTCTGTTAATTCATTAATACATACTGTCAAGTTGTTGGACTTGTTTATTAAACCGGCTATATTTTGATGCATTACGTATATGTGTCTAGTTACGAAAAATACAGTTATTCGAAGCTGTTTTCTGATTGTAAAGCATATTTGCATCACTAGTGTTATTTGATTTTCCGTCAGGAGATTGTTTGTCAGTCAAAGGTATGTAAGAATATTGAAGATAGGTATTAATATTATTAATCATATCAAAAATGTCTCTAAACATTGTCAGTATTCCAAAATTATTAATTACGCCTGTA